ACGGATGTTTGTAAGGCATCCAAAATAAGCAGCCGCCAGCACCAATAAATAAGCCCATTAACCGGCGAAGTTCGAGTTTACGATCCCCCATGCTTTTTTCAAAGTTGCTGGAGGGGCGGGAATCCTTGTTGCGGGTAGAAGAAAGGCAAACCCCGGCCCGGACGCCGGGGCCCTGAGCTGGGAGGCAGAGAGGGACCTTTTCGCTTTCCCTGGAGCTCAGAATCGCCCAGACTGCCCGTCCCTGGCTCCTGGAGAGCCGTGAAGGCGGCAGGCCCTTGACCCCAGTCCGTTTTTTTGGTGTGTCTTCCCCAAGTCCCAACGACGTCCTTCCTCTCCTCACCAGGCCTTGGGCAAGGAGGGGGCTGCAGTGAGACGCAGCTTTGCTGCCCGCCCCCCCTCCAAGCAAGCACCCCGGACCCCAGCCTGGGGGGGGGGTGCAGGAAGTGCTTGTGTGCCTGGGGGCAAGACGCAAAGACAAAGTTAAGGCATTAAGTTCAAGATATACAGGCCCGCCCTCCCAGGCCGTTCCTTCTGCAGGCACCTGGCAGCTTTGTGCTAAAACAGGTGTTTGGGGGAAATGGAGGAAAATGTAACTTGGGCGGGTAGGTGTGGACTGGAGGCCCACTGGCGTCTGCACAGGCCTCTTGGAGGAGCTGCTCTTCCTGGGCAAGCAAGCTAAAGGGGAGCACCCCTCTCTGTGCATGGCTTAGGGCACCCCTCTTGTGGCACGGGCGGCCCAAAGCCACCCCTGTGGTCAGCCCACACAGCCTCCACTTAACCTTCCCCTCTTTGTTCCCTTAAAATGCCAGGCAACCCCAAAGGCGAGAACTCAGCCAACTGGCTCACTGCAAAGAGCGGCCGGAAGAAGCGCTGTCCCTACACCAAGCACCAGACGCTGGAGCTGGAGAAGGAGTTTCTGTTCAACATGTACCTTACTCGAGAGCGGCGCCTAGAGATCAGCCGCAGCGTCCACCTCACGGACAGACAAGTTAAAATCTGGTTTCAGAACCGCAGGATGAAACTGAAGAAAATGAACCGAGAAAACCGGATCCGGGAGCTGACAGCCAACTTTAATTTTTCCTGATGAAGCTCCAGGCCACGGCCGTTTTGTTTTGTTTGGTCCCCCCCCCCTTCCTCCTGCTTCCAGGGAGCGGTTCTGCTCCCTCTGTCTTCGGCCTCTGCCCAGGAACTGGCACCTGTGCGGGAGCCCCGTGGCTCCCTCCCACACCCGCATCTCGCTGGCCGTGACATCTGTGCAGGGCTGGTTTGTTCTGACTTTTTATTTCTTTGTCCGTTGGCTAGGTGCTGGTTTATTTGTTGTTTTCTGGGGGAAAAAGCCATATCGCTCTTAAATTCTATATAGGTAAACGTTGTCCCAGCTGTCAAGCAGTGGGCTGGGGTGGTTTGTCGTCTCCGTGTCCCACTGCTCAACAGGGCCCCTGTTCTCCTGGTGGAGCTGGTGGAGCTGGTTTCCTGCGGGGCCGGGGCAAACCTAGCGGAAGGCCCAGGTCCCCTCGGAGGCGCTGAGGTGTCTGGCCCGAGGTCAATGGTGCAAGGAGCCGCCACCGGCTCCCTGGCCTGGAGTGCTGGGCTGTGTTTAATCAGGGGATGCAGGCCCTCGGTTTCTTCTTTCTTTCTGCGTTGGCAAAGAGAAGGGCTTATGGGCATGGGCATACAGGTTGGCAAAAGGGCTTGACTTTGGCTGATTGGAAAATGGAGAGAGTCAGAAAGATGAATTTTTCTTTCCTCTGTAAGATATCCCAGCTTTGAAAGAAAGAAGAAAGAAAAGAAAGAAAGAAAGAAAGAAAGAAAGAAAGAAAGAAAGAAAGAAAGAAAGAAAGAAAGAAAGAAAGAAAGAAAGAAAGAAAAGAAAGAAAGAGAAAGAAAAGAAAGAAAGAGCCAGCCAGCCCAGGGCAAGGAAACTCCTGCTCCAGTTTGTGTAAGGTCTTGCATTGTGGGGCTAAACTATTTCCCTTTCCTCTGAATCTCCATATCCTCCGGCTGTAGATAAATAATCTGATGTAGTTTTGTTTATACATGTGGATTTAGTGGATTTTTGTCATAAAGTAATTGTTACCACTGGTAACCCATGACAAGCACACCACAATTCTCCCGATCTTGCGGAGGTTTGTTGTTTGTTTTCCCCACTATCTTTTTTTTTTTTTTCTCCAAAATTCATGGAAGCCGAGGAGGGCTGGGGGCAGGCGGAATAGACTAGAGAAGGGAGACATTGTTTGGTTTCCTTTATACTGTGAAGTTACATGCATAAAAGGGTCAAACCTGTAGATGCAGAAAAAGAAAAAAAAAACTATAAATGCAAATCTGTATAAATGTCTATTATTATGAAAAATTGCCAATCTTGTTTTATGCAAATGCATTCTATCTTATTATAAATGTTAGTTCTAGCTCTATTTCTAATCTTAAATCAGAATAAATTAATATTGTAATGCTGCTGTGCGTGGAAAAAAAAAAGACGATGTTTATGTTCTTATAGAATAAAAGCTGTGGAATGAAGCTTTTTAATTTTACCTCTTTTTTCGACTTTTATCTTCACCTTCCACTCTATCCCGTCCACTACTTTTATGACAGGAGGACTAGCCCGCGCCCCCTGCAATTACTTTCGGCATCTATTTAAATATTACCTAGACGGTCGTAACTTGTCTGGGCCCTACAGCCCTGGTGCCGTGAGGCTCCTCGGCTTTTGTTCCGTTTTATGACTTGCTAGTATATCTGGATTGTGGCTGTCTTGGACCGGTGGTTTCAGTTGAGAGAGGAGCTTCATAGACAGAGGAAGCCAAACAGGATTTCTTTCGGGAGCCCCAGGAGGCTCGCAGAGGCTGGTTATTTTTGTGGGTCCCCTGGTCTAGATGACCCCCAGTCTGGGAAGCCCGGGAGCCGGCCGGGCCCACAGCGCCTCTCCAGCGTCCGCGGCGGCGCTTAGGTAGACGGCGGCCGGGCTGCCCGGACCCCC